TGGATTTTCTTACAAACCAAATACGATGCTGATTCTCGGCATGTGATGATACACGCAAAATAGGGCACCTGTGCGTACGCTTAGATTAGAAAAAAAATGAGTTAGGCACGGCTAATCAGCAGATCCCTTGATATTTTTTGACCCCTACTCAGCGGGGCCGTGGCAAATGCTTGTTCCGGAAGTTGTTGTATACAGTATACAACTTCTTCCCGTTCAAGTGATTGTACACGCGTTAAGGAATACCTCAGTACCGATTGCCAGGTGGCAGTACAAGTCCGCCAACGGGCCACTTTAGGTCTATTTAATATCACTAACACGTAAAAGAAGGTCGGAGACAAGGACCGGTCGACCGAGGCAGTACCACCCGCTAGCTTTCCCCAGGGTGTCTTATAAATGTCCGCATGTTTCCACACCTAAGCTATGCAGTCGGTTATCTTCCAAAACAAAGAAATTAATGATGATGGATATTGAGCAATAAGAACTCCGGACGTAAGCTCACTCCACTCTCGAAATGTCCGGGTGGAGGGTGGGCTCGAGGGAGCAACATCGACGATAAAATTTGTTTTTCGAACATCTGCGGGATTAACAGCAACATTGATGCTGTTCATCACTACCTACAATCCAATCGTCCCGCCGTGCTTTTCTTGGCCAAGACAAAAATCTCGGAGTCTGCACCGATTAACCATCTTAACTTAAATATGAGAAAGAACGAGGGAGTTGTGGCTTTTGTCAACAGCAGTCTTTCCTGCTCCAGAGATGTTTCTTTGGACATTCTGTGGCTTCGCCTCAACTCCAAAACATCACCCAAATTTATTTGCTGCCTTTATCGCTCTTCCTCGGACCATAACTGGGATGACCTACTCGAATACCTCGCCGTCCAGATCGACTTCCTGAACATCAATCACCCCGCTTCAGATGTAGTTCTTCTCGGTGATTTCAATGCCCATAATGCGCTTTGGTTGGGCTCAAACAAGACCGATGCAGCAGGGCAGTGCGGTCGAAGCGTTCGCTCTTACTCAAGGGCTTACCCAGCTGGTGACGAGCCCTACTTTTTTCCCCAGCGTCTCGTCACACGCCAGTAGCCTGCTGGATCGCTTTCTGACCACGCATCCTGCCCCTTACAGCACTGCTGTCCTGTCCCCCCTGGGTAACTCAGGACCACGGTGTTGTGGAGGTTAGGTTTCGGTCAGAACCGCTGTGGCAGCAGAAACTCGAACAGGCCGCAAAACTTGGCATTACGGACATGCCGACTGGGAGGAGCTCAGAGACTTCTTCTCTAGCTTTCCTTGGAAAGATGTCTGATTCATTGTCGCGGATGCGTCGGCTGTCTGTTCTTCGATAACCGAAATTATCCACGTCGGAATGGAGGAATACATCCCTCACACAGTGAAAGTGCCTAGACCAGGGTCCAACGGCTGGTTTAACAAATCGTGTGACGCTGCTCGCCAGCAGAAGATCAAGGCACACAGAACCTTCTTACAAAACCCCACTGTAGAGAACAGACAAGCCGACGTTGAGTCCAGAACTGTCGCAGCGCGATAGCAGTCGGTCTTTCTGGATGCTGGCCCAGCAGATTGAAAAGAACTTCTCACGCAGTAGACTTCCACCACTTATGTGTCAGGATGGAACTAATGTATTCAATTCAAAGGCCAAGGCGGAAGTGCTAGCCAAGATCTTTGCTACCAACTCCATCATGGAAGTCCCCCCCCCAACGCCCAAGTGCCGTCAATTGAAAGGATTCCCTACACCATGCGGGAGGTAACATTCAGGCATAAGACCGTAAGACGAGTGCTCTTGTCGCTCGATATCAACAAAGCTTCTGGTCCGGACTTGTTTGATGCCATTGTACTGAAGAGGTGTGCAGCGGAGCTTGCTCCAGTTCTTTCGCGTCTCTTCCAGATATCTTATGAATCCGGCACCTTCCCAGAAAACTGGAAATTTGCTCATGTCCAGCCCATCCCAAAAAAGGATCTCCCTTACAACTACAGGCCTATAGCTCTGATTTCTGTTATAAGTAAAGTGATGGAGAGGTGCATAAATCGCGAGCTTCTGGACTACCTCGAACGTCACAGCTTGATTAGCGACAGGCAGTTTGGTTTCCGGCACCAACGATCCACAGGGGACCTCTTAGCCTACGTTACGCAATTGTGGAGTAAACTCATCCAGTATTATGATGAGGTTCATGTCGTTACTCTTGACATCACGAAAGCGTTCGATCAGCTCGGGCACGATGCCCTCTTAAGCAAGCTTTGCAGATGGGTGGCTGACTTTATCTCTGGCCGCAAGATATCCGTCGTAATTGACGGGTTCTCCTCTTCATCCCACAATGTCAACGCGGGTGTTCCCCAAGGATCGGTCTTGGCTCCGACACTGTTTCTTTTACATATCAACGACCTCCTTTCCTGCACGATCAACCCAATCCACAGCTTCGCTGATGACAGCACTCAACATGCAGGAATTCAGAGTGACAAGCCGATCTCTGCCGCTGAGCTGGAAAGAAGAACACTAGCGACGACTTCCTCTCTGACAAGAGACCTGGAGGCTATCACTGCTTGGGGACGCAACAATCTTGTACAGTTCAATCCTTCCAAAACACAATTTGACGAACAAAAAGCATCCTAGCGCTCATCCGGTTTCGATGGATGGACGAGTTCTGCCAAAGAGCCATTCCTTTCGGCTGGTCGGAGTCCAAACCCCCTAGGACCTGATCTGGCACGAACACATCTCGTCAATAGCAGCAGCTGCTGGAAAAAAGCTAGGCTATTTGTTTAGGGCCAAGAAGTACTTTTCTCCGCATGACCTTCTCACTCTATACATGGCCTAGATAAGGCCTCGCCTCGAGTATTGCTCACACGTTTGGGGTGCTGCCGCCCCGATTACATTGTCCATGCTTGATGCTGTCTAGAGGAGGGCGGTCCGACTGATCGATGACTCTTTTCTAACAGACAGTCTCGGGACCCTTTCGCACCGCCGGGCCGTCGGCGATCTAGCTCTTTTCTACCGCTACACCAACGGGCTTTGCTCCTCAGAGGTCTCTGCCATGATGCCGCCGCGCGATTTGCCTGCCAGGCAGACCCGCCTGGCAGGAACATCCTAACCGTGTCGAACTTCGTACATCCAGAACTGGCCGATACGACCGCTCCTTTGTCCCGAGGGTGTCGAGATTGTGAAACAATCTACAAGAGGAAGCTTTTACCAGCTCTACTAACATTAGGCAGTTCAAAAATCGTATTAACAAAATTTCTTTGGGATCATCATAGCATGCCGCGGTGTTCCGGCATTTAGGCTTCTGCCTGCGCGGCTGCTTCGATATAAAAAAAAATCTATCAGGTACATGATCATGGTACGAATTTTGCGTTTGAGTCGCATTTTTTACGACATGGTGGTGGATACCGTATAACCTTGAGGCCGCGTACCTCAAATCCTCAAATGTAGGACGTTGAAAAATAGCTGTTGCAGCTATTGTATTCATGATACCTAATAGGTCTCCTAGGTTTCCACAGCTTTAATATATCACTAGTTTTTTCATGCAGGTAAGTGAGACACATTTATAGCAACCCCAAATTTAGAATAAAATCGATATTGGACATAAGGTAAATTGTTTTTTTTGCCAGTAAACTCGGTATTTTCCTTATATGAAACCGCTCCTTCTCACTAAAGGATCACAGATCGTTTGTATGACACTGGGTATACTAAAACCATTACAAGGACATTAAACGCAATCCGCTTATACCAACCCTACTGCTAACGGACATTAAAAGGGCCGTAGAATGTTAGGGTCTATTACAAATTATTTACGTGATGTGAGATTTATATGTATGTGTAGTTAAATCTTTCGTAGGAAGATTCGTACCTTGTTTCTGTTCGGTATTTTATATCATTCAATATTCTCTAGTTCCATCTAGTCAAAACCGCTATTATTGATTTACAATTATAGACGCGTATATCAAAAGCTGCTTTATGTTCAAGCGGCATCTTGAACTAGCTTATGAACCAATGTTAATAGTGTTGACATTCTCATTCCGATGCATTTTGTTTCCATTTCTAATTTGCGGTATTTCTCACTAAATTCGTGACCCCCTCAAAAAGTTCTGTTCATTATAATGTAACGAAACGGTAATCTCGCGACCTTCCAAAATTTTACAATAAAAATCCAGCCTATCATGCTGAATTTCAATAGACAAAAAAGATTCAGGACAAATTATTTTGATTGTTTACGTATCAGATCCAAGCTTTTCTGAAAATGACGGAAACGTGAAAATGAATTTTAGTGTATAGCGTATAAAATAGGCGCCATTTCCGATACACGCATTTCAGTACGTGGCGCCGTAGTAGTTTTTGAAGCACATGTGTCCAATTCATCATGGAACGCTAGACGATCCCACAATATTACGGAAGTGATTGAAAATATTCCTCTCGAAAATTACCAAAAAGTGATAGAAAATGTAATCAAGAAGGATCAGGTTTGCGCGCCTTCTAGAGACCGGACATTTGTCTGATATTATTTTTCATACAAAATTTCTCAGTTTAAATAAAAGATTAAGATGAAAAAATGGACGTACTTTATTTCATTTCACAAATATTCAAGATACAAACCAGTCAGTTACCTAATCCAACCGACCATGAATATTTTAATTCAGTTCTATTGCTACTCAACATTATAACGAATAAAAATGATGGCTCGCGATTTGCACCAAATTGCATAATTGTTTATGCACTTTCTGAATAATAAAGAGTAATGATACTATTGCATTTGAAATTTTTGCAAAATACAGAAAAACAGTTTATTGTCACTCAACGCGCCCTAGCGACCGACAAATACACTGAAAAAACTTGGCCACTGACACAAGCGGCCATCAAAACTATTATAAATAAAGCCAAATCATTGAAGCCAATCAGAAGTTACGTTGGTTTTCTCGCTGCCTAAGAAAATAAAGTTAAGAAAAATTTATGTTAAAAGCAAATCAGTACACGGGAAGTAAAACCATTGTGGTACTTACTCCAAAAGCCGAAAACCTCTTGGTCCTCCTGTTATCTGCTTGGCCCTGGTTGAGCAACACCTCCGACTTGGGTCTGGGTGGTTTCCGTGGCCTTAGGATAACTTTTTGCTCTTCTCGAATGTCATCGTCTAACAATTTGCTATCACTAGATACAGACAGCTGACGTTTCACTGGCTCGTGACCTTCCGAAACGTTGTTCCATTCTGAAAAGAAAATAACGCATAACAGTCATGACTAACTGTAGATAAAATATATTGTAATAAGCAAGACGGACATGATTTTGTTTGTAAGGATGAACAATGCTAATAAAGGCATAACAATAATAACAATTTATTGTCATGAACAAGGTCCAATACAAAGAAAACTATGAGCTAATGAATTCTCACTAACAGTGGTGACGCTATGCCATGTATGAACGTCTGCAACATCAGCTTTGCGAGGCCCCTTCCATTTCACAGTCAAAATAAAATGTTAAATTAATGAGATGAACTGTACACTAATATGTATATGCGTTTTATTGCTAATCAAATGATAAGAAAAATTAAATAAACATAAACACAAATTAAAATAGACGAGCTTTTCTGCTTTTAGCCTCACTGAACTGTTTCAAGATTGTTACATAACACCAGCCGCTATTTGCGCTTCAATTGATAGAGCAGACAGTCTGCCTTTTCCCATCGTGACTCTCAAGTAGGTCTCAATGAACTTTAGCTTTGAGAAGCTTCTCTCAATGGAAGCTGTTCTAACATGAACTGTAAGCATGATTTTGATTGTTATGTACGCATTTGGATATACTTTCACCTTTCCAAAGTGTTTTGTATGTAAATCGTTACAATGCTTGACAGGACAAGAGTACAAGAGTACATATTCTCTTAAAACGACCACTGCAACGAAGACTATAGTAATGCATTCAAAAATCCTTGCTTTTGACTCACTATGTATAGGGTATCGATAGACTTTCAGGTTTTCTTTGGTGGAAGAATATGGTATCTCAGTCATGCACCTATATGCAACGAGTAAATCTTTTACGTCATATAATAAGTATAATAGTGGAGGTTGCTCCCGCGACAACTACATCAAATTGAGTTACTTTAGTCTTCGATGCAAAAAATCGCGGAAAGCCCAACTTACTGTGAGACCTACTAAAGCGAACTAAAATGAGTTCAAGAACCAAAATAATTCTGGCAGATGCAAAGAAGCAAAGTGCAGCTGCTGAACCGTTACATTAATAAATAGTGATGGATTCTTTTAACACAACAAATAAGTTTAAACATAGCATCTGCTGCACGTTATGCATTGGGTTCTGTCGCATCACAGTCTCTTTCTCTCATGCCTGTGAAATAAAAAGAATTCAACTACTATAGCCTCGGTTTTGCTAAGGTGACACTCGCGTTTTTGCTTTACATTCTTTCATCTCCAAGTCTGGACCTGATACAAACCTATATCGTACTCATGAGGGCTAAAGAGCCCTGTCTGCGGTTGGTCGTGGATCCATTAGTTTTAAATAAAAGGTAAAAACAGAAAATTGGAACATGTACGCTTGTGGAGAAAAGTTGAAAATAAATAAGTGCTTCGTGAAATGAAATAAAAGTGTGACTATGCTGATGATCTCACGATAGTAACATTGATTAAGCAAATAGTCTTCCTAGCATTCCTGAGGCTTACCTGCGTTTCATTTTTCTCTAAAAGCCAAGGTAGATAAAAAAATACAAAGAGGACATATTATTAACAGTGCTGAAAATACAGAAGTTGAGAACGATGATAGTGGAGAACACGAAGATGAATATAATTTGAGTGACTCAGATTGGCATTAAAGAGGTCTTTTTCGACTACTTCTTTGAAAAATACCTTAATTTTTCAATAAATATCCTATTCCGTCTAGAGCAAGTGTACTTTTTTCTTAAATTGATCCAACGAAAACTATGGTAAGTCAAGAAAATTTATTAAAAAATTGTCATTTTCGCTAGGTTTGTATTGTAATACCATTTATAACCTTCTATATACAAGAATTACTGCAATGTGTAACATATTTTTGATGAGATCGTCATTTTTCTGATAACGAAGTTCATCAAAAATCTTCTGGTGCCCGTATCTTAGTTCAACCAAAACTGAGTTACAATAGTCTTCCTTGTAGAGGTCGATAAAGTATGACGATTCGAGATCACAGATACTTGAAGTGAGGTATTATTATTGCTTCAACTACAGTTGATACAATTAAGAAATCAATCTCAGTTCAAAGGAATGTTTCCCAGTTTTAGAAACAAAGCGTATCATAGTCACGATCCTCCATTAAATATAGATGGGTTTGATCTAAGAGGACTTATAGTATTTAGTGTCTATGAAAACTTCTTGGCTATTTTTGCTTGAATAATTTTACAGGAAATTAAACCTCATTTTGCAGCAAATTGGGTTTTCAAGAAAGCAAAGATAAACTAACCACCTGCTCAATTTATCAATAAAATACAATTTCAGAGCTGTACTATTATTTGTTTACAAGTTACGATTGAAGGAGAAATCCAGAAAAATGCAATTATTTGACAAAAAAGAAACTAAACAGTGTTCTTCAGTCACCTTTATACACAACATGAAACAATCTGACGACAAGTATTTAGAATACTTCTCCAGACAGGCTGTTGAAAGAAGGGACACGCGACATTAAGTGGAAATTGTGCATTTCATCGTGTTCTTTACAATCATGCAGCAGATGTAAAAATAGGCATGCAAGAAAAAGTATAGAGAGTTACGATCGAGTAGTAAATAAGCACCGACTCTGGACGCCAGGCGTAAATTGATCCTGAATTAAAAGGTCCACGGACGGAATCAGCGGAGCGTATTGTGAACGACGGTGAATGGAAATCAAGTCGGCGGCTCAAATGCACCGTCGACTTTGAATTTCAATGAGTACACATCCATTGGAGAAAAGGGAAAAGTATATGTGGATTGGGAGCGTAGGGTAGCTTCCCTCTGATTTATAATTTAGTGAGACTGTTTGCTCTCCTGCTTCTGTGGAGTTTATTTCCTGAGAAGGTTCTCAATAAGGGAGAGTTACTTTGCTATAATTTATTATTTCATTCCGTGGATTTGATAACATTGTATATTTGAAGAATTTTAGATCATGAAGTTGCCTACCTCTTTTCAAATTAGATAGCTATAATAATAATAATAATAATATTTATTCACTCAATGTACAAAGATAACAAACAATATGAGTAAATAAATATAAAATCAAAACAGGCCCAATAGAAAGCATCGCCTATACATGGACCAATAATTTTAAGTTGCAACTGTAGAATGCAAATGACAAAAAGGACAAAATTAGCTACAGTAAATTATGTACTAACTTGATGTTCGTATTTATGAGTTTATGAATTTCAGTCCTAGATATAGAATGTAGCCACTTTTTTAAATTTCTTTTGAAACAATTTCCGAAACGTAAATCTTTTAAGTCTTTAGGTATAATTTCATAAAATTTTGGCGCTAAATAGAGATATGACCGCTGCATTATAGATTCATGCGGTTGAGGAACTACTGTGCCACGAATTTTGTACCTTGTATAATGATTATGTTTAATTTTTTGGTCGGTGTTTACGAATTTATGGTAGTGAGTGATACTGTGTAAGAAATAAAGCTGTCTTATATCATACATCCGAACATCTGCGTATAATTTGTCAGTGGGATAAAGTTTCGGTTTCTTAAATATCATTTTTAGAATACTTTTTTGAAAAACATCTAAATTATAGATATGTGAGGAACATGCAGCTCCCCATGCTAATATACCATATGTGAGATGAGGCTCAATCAGTGCATGGTATAATGTTCGAAGATATTTTTCTGTCAATATATTCCCAATGTATTTAATTTTGTAGGATACAAATCTAACTTTCTTTAAAATATAATTGACATGGATGTCCCATCGTAAGTGAGGATCCAAGACCACTCCAAGGTATTTTATGTTGGGCACTCTATTAATTTGCATTTTTTGATCATTAATGTTGAAGGAAAAATTTGTGTATTTTGGCAGATGTCTAGCATAAGATCCAAATGGTAAAAAATGTGTTTTAGAATAGTTAATGCCTAATTTTATACTGTTAAACCACCGAATAATTTTGATAAAATCATTTTCAATTACTTTTTTCAGATCAGACCAGTCAGTGCCTTCATACAATATTGCAGTATCATCTGCAAAACTGGTTATTTTGCCAACACAATGAATTTGGTAAATATCATTTAAATATATATTGAATAATAGCGGACCTAAGACAGTTCCTTGTGGGACACCACACTTAATATACATTTCTTTACTAAACGATCCTGATATCTGCACAGATTGTGGGCGATTTGACAAATAATTTTCAATCAGTGAAACCAATTCTCTCCAATGCTTCTAATAATAATTTGTGATTAACTGTGTCGAAAGCTTTCTTTAAATCAACAAAAATGCAGATTGAAGGGATTCTGTTATCAATATTTTGATGTAATTGATTTAAAATTTTAGTTATTGCGTCCGATGTAGCCTTCCCTTCTGTAAATCCATATTGATTTTCACTTAAAATTTTGAATTTTGTGAGGTATCGAATCATTCTAGTAGATAAAACTTTTTCAAAAACCTTTGCTACACTGGATATTATTGATATTGGTCTATAGTTGTTAACATCTGTTTTTGTTCCTGATTTATGTATCGGTATTATATTACCCTTTTTTTTAAAATTGAGGGGTACATGCCAGATTCAAAGCATTTGTTGATTAGGTAAGTGAGTGGTTCTGTTATGTCCTATATTTTCAGTGATCTAAAATCACTGCTATATATGTTGGTAGTGACAGGTGAACAAAACATTCTAAATAGAAACTTCGCACGGCCTTCAGAATCAGTGCACTTGTCATGTTTATGATGGTCATTGAGATTTTCAGCTGTAATAGTCCTTCCTCTTCGTTAAATGTATATTATATATATATATATATATATATATATATATATATATATATATATATATATATAGAGAGAGAGAGAGAGAGAGAAAGGGATCAGCGGAAAACGGTATATAACAAATATAAAAATAATGGGCAAATTCAGCTACAAGAAGGAAAGTGAACTCGAGCAGAAAATAGGATAGGTAACCCGAGCGAAACGTATTTCTGCTTGTTGGCTTCTGCAGGCCAGAAATAAATGCACATATACAACTACAAAAGTAGTTACACGTATCCAGCCAAAGGTTAACTTTTTAGCCGAAGCCAATAT